TGGCAGTCTCCCCCCTCTTCACCATCTCTACGGGGTGGTTTAGCCCCAAAACCAGCTGGCTCGGGGCGCTCCAGTGGCGAGCCCAGACCAAAACCATGCACGATTGCAAATTTCTGTCTGTCGCCGAAGGAACTCAAACCGGAAGGGCAAAATAATTTTAGAATTTTAAGGCATGTGTCGGTATTAAACACTTATTTTGGCAAAATACATTGTATACCTGAAATACATTTGCATACCTAAAAAGAAATGTTCTTTTTGATTTCAAAACACTCTCTATCGATTTTTCCTCTACAACAACAGTGCTGCCTTGAACTAGCTTTACTTTACCCACCTAAACACGGACAAAACTTTTTCCCTTTAATAAGAACTTAAAACAAATAATCCCAAATCCCAGTGGGTCTTGTTAAAATCACCTCATAAAATTTTTACACTCTTGTATGACTTTGGAGAAGGAAATGTTGACCCAGCAGTTTGAGCTCACACTGACTAATGTCGCCTTGGGGAAGAGATTGTCAAAATTCATGTGCTTCCCTATTTGAAATGGATATAAAGCAGCCAATTATGATACATCACTGCAAACAGTAGCTAATGACAGATGATTTTTTCAGACACAATAATCTAGTTTTCAAGTAAACAAAATTATAAAGGCAGCCCAACTATCGGGAACCTTAGTTGCTTACCTAATAAAAACCACAATCAAATCATTATCATGGTTTTAGATTCTGGAATGTGCAAATCTGTGGTAGTTCTCTTGTTTAGCCCAGTGATAGATTACAGAAAGCCAAAAAGTCAGTAGTTTCATTTAGGGACTGAACTATTAGAAACTGCAGATGGAGAGGGGCAGCATTTCAATTATCTCCATCCTCCTCCTAAAGGAGACACTCTCAGCACCAAAAACTGATGCATAATTCTGTTAAATTATTGTGGTTAAACTGCTCACAGTAGCTACAACTCTTGTACTGTGGTCACCATTAATGTTCTATATTACTTTAGATCTCTGTAGCTACCAGTTCATGTTACAATTCAGTTAACAGGTTAACAGAGTTGGAAGGGATTTTGGAGGTCTTCTAATCCAACCTCCTGCTCAGTCATGAAATCCTATACTATTTTAGACAAATGCTCGTCCAATCTCTTCTTAAAAATCTCCAGTGTTGGAGCGCCCACAACGTCTAGAGACAAATCATTCCACTGATCAATTGTTCTAACTATCAGGAAATCTTTCCTTAACTTCTAAGTTGATTCAATGTTTTGGATGGGAAATAAAGTCCCAAAATTATTTAGAATTAGAGCATCTGTTTTCTCTCATCTATATTGGGATCCATGAAAGGTAATTTTCTAGCTGTTTTTCAGAAGAGAACTGGAAAGTTTTTCGGTAATAACATTCAAGCTATGGAATCCTTTCTCCAAGTCTGGTAACCTAAACACAATTAAAGCACTAGAAAAGTTGCTGTTCTCTACATGGGATGATGATTAACCATTTATTTATCTGATTTATATCCTGCCTTTCTAATCAGAAGCACTAATCAGACCATTTCAGTTAAGATTAATGAGAGTAAGACTCCAATTGAGCCCAGAAATATGAGTCACCACATGACCATTCATTCATTAAGTGAGTCACCACATGACCATGACCAATTTTATGACCATTTTGTGCCAGTTGTTAAACAAACATTACAGTCATTAAGTGAAGCTATTATATCCAATGGATGTTTTTTTTGCCAGAAACCAGAAGTGAAGTATTCATTCCACTGGAGCTTGTTTGTGATCGTTAATTTTAGTGGCTCTTTTGTACTTCGAGTGTTCATCTTCTAGATGTATTTATTTTTATTTTTAGCCTGTACTTGTTGGCAGAAGTAACTCAGCTTTCCCTTTAATCAATTAAAGTGTAGTGGATTTTATTATATTTTTCTTATATTTTGTTATTTTGCTATTGTAGACTGCCTAAAGCCCTTCAGAATAAGATGGATTATAAGCACCTCCCATTAATTAATCATTTTCCAGCAGCTATATTCATCTCATTAATACCTAAAGAGAAATACAGTCTCGTATTTCCAATCAGCGATGCAAGCCTATTTCTGACAACATAAATGGGGTTTGGGAAAAAAATTGTGCTGCCTTCTGTACTGCAAGCAGATGAAAAATATCAGCCCAATAAGAGTAACTTTGCCTTTAGAATACACAATGTTTTAGGAGATCCACAAATGCTTTTGAATGTATTAAGAACTTGTTATGTGACATCCTCCTTCATAATGTCTTTTCAAATTACAGAAGTGCTTAGTAATTGCTAGGAGATCAAGAAAACAAAAAGACCACATGCTCCCTGTTTAATAAGCTCAGTCAATAAAAATGAGCGCCGAAGAGCATTCGTCATAACATTTTGTGGTATACAGTGATGGAAACATGAGTTTCTGTAAGTGAGTTGTGACAGGATATGGAAAAATTGCATACTACATTATTTCCCAGACTAGGTTCCAGTGTCTTCTTTGTGCAAATTCTGGTAAGGAATCTATAAACATCCTGGATGAAATTCACAGTAAGCTGTTTTGGGTTTTAGGCACATTTGGAACTATACAGAATTTTTTTATGAGTATGCTCACAAAATGGATGCCATGAAGTTTGTGGCCATTCACAATTCACTTACTAGAAGGCAAACTGGAAGATGGCTGCCTACCCTTCCTCTTCTATGTTGCCCTCTTTATTTGAGGGGGGAGGGAAGCGAACATATTTTCAAACCAAGATTGGGCTGGAGTCAGCCATCATTCTGATTTCCTAAAAAGGCTTCAAGATACAGAAGCATTCTTGGAAATAAAAATAATAAGGAAGGTAGTTTCCTACTTACTTATTTTAAAGTATCCAAAAGTCAGGACAAAAAGTGAGCCCATTAGTATCTATAAATCACATTTATACAAGTATTCAAATCAACTGTATTTGAATACCCCTAATCTGGTGTATACTTTCTAGATCTTGAGTCATGACAGTTGGGCCATATTAATTAGGAATCCTGAAAAAAGATTGGATTTACTTATCCACAAATTTGTAATAATAATTTTCTCACAAAACTAGTCCATAAACCTTAGCAATAGCTTTCACAAGCACATCATGAATAGGAAAAAATACCCAAAATATCCAATATTCAAAATACATGAAATTGCAGATTTCTTGCACTTATGAGAAAAATTGCCCCAGTCCTACAGCTACAACTTCTCCAACTGATGGATGCTCAGACTCTGTTTAATAATTCTAACTCTGAAGACAGAGTCTTCTACAATTAATTCTTACAGTAAAAAAAAATTGTGCCAACTTCAAACCTAATAAAACATAAATTAATAAATACTTTACATAATAAACTTTGAACTATTTGAAAACAATCCTGTCTCCACATAATCTCTACTTTTCCCAGAAAAACATACCCAACTTCTTCAACTACATCTCTCTGGATATTTTGTAGCTCATCACACTAGCCCAAGAAGAGGCAACAAGGCATGATTCATATTTTTAGAGTCACAATTCTTATAAATACCCGAGTGACCATGCTAGGAAGGATTTTAAGGATTAACATTTTATAGCTTCAAGATTCACTATTCTTGTTCTCATCATTATAAACTCCCCGTTTTTAGCAAGTGTCAGTTATTCATATGGACTCAGATGCCCAGATTTCAAGTCCATCAACAACATTCCAATATGTTTGAGGTATGAAGAAGGCATATACTGTAGTTGCTCAGTTGCATGTTCTAAGGAGCTATAAATCATCTCTTGAAATAACAAGAATAGGAAATAAAGATTTTGCACAAATATGGATTATAGAGGATGCATTTTTTTAAAAAAAGGCAGTCATATTTTTAAAAGCTATTTACAAGACTCCAAACAGTGTATCAGCTGTTTTAAAAAGTTCTCCATTGTAGCTTTGCTGTTTCCAGGTACAAAACAGATTGTAACATGTCAATTGGTTCCTTACCACATTATACTAAACATATAATGAACAAAAGTAATCTCTTGTTAAAGCCTCAGAATACAAATCTATTAAATTAAGCAGAAAATTAACACAGAAAATCAAAAGCCAGCGGTACCAACACTTGCATTCATTCAAGTTTCCTATGTCATACATATTTATTTTAAAAAGCAACTCATTAAAGAACTATGTGTAAGCATTGAAGTTAGTGAAAATAGCCTGTTAATATAATTTTTACACATAGTACACACACTTTACACACGTAACACAGAAAGCAGCGTTTCCTTGAGCCTCTGTGGCGCAATGGTTAGAGTGCACTACTGCAAGCTACTTCTGCAGCTGGCTGCCTACAATTTGGCAGTTCAAATCCCACCAGGCTCAAGGCTGACTCAGCCTTCCATCCTTCTGAGGTGGGTAAAATGAGGACCCAAATTGTTGGGGGCAATATGCTGACTCTGTAAACCTCTTAGAGAGGGCTGTAAAGCACTATAAAGTGTTATATAAGTCTAAGTGCTATTTCTATTGCTATTTCATTTTTATAAATGTTTGTAAAATTAGAGTGGATGAATCAGAGACAACAATTTTCTATGACTCCAATCCTGAGAAATTACATCCTTTTTAGTGATAAGCTTGTCCCAATATGATGATTTTTCACGACATTTTACACATTGAATTGCTCTGGAAGGACTTTGGGTGAGTTACTGTTGTCTTGCTAGAGTTGGCTGATATTTCATTATTTATGCTATTATTTGTGGCATGTACAGTAATATTGATTGTAATTTGTGTTCTGGTATTATAGGTTAGGGTTTGTTCTCATCATAGACTTTTTAATTTTAATGTCTATGAAAAGAACAAACCCTAACCAAAACACAATTAAATTATGTTGATGTACAGATTTGATACCCATGTGTTATTATTTATCTATCTGAGTTACACTGTGGATGTTTGCTGTGAATGGAGGTGGCAGCATATAAATTCATACTCATGCATTCACACACCAACATGCTGCACAAGAGATACACACACACACACAAACAGAATCAGTACTTACTCCTTGTTTCTGTTCTCAGTACAAGGATGGTAAAGAACTTTAACAGCCTTATGAATCTCAGCAGGCCTCAAAGGAGATGACAGCTCAGGTTCAAGTAATGTAAAAATGTTTTTGGAAACTGGGTTTCCTGACATTTCCACCATCAGTGTGTCACAATTCAATACCCAGATCTATGGATAAGAAACGTTATTACAAGTCACATTTAGAGATAAATGAAAGTGGAACTATTATTATGCATTGGAGACAAATTCCTTGTGTGTTCAATCACACTTGGCCAATAAAGAATTCTATTCTGCTCTGCTCTATTCTGTTCTATTCTTATCCCTATCCCTATCCGTATTCCTATTCTTTTTCTCACATAAAAAGCCATAGAGGACACAATAACTACTACTACTGAGTTGCCCACAATTACTTGATTACAACACATTTTGGGCACTTGGCAACTGGCTCACCTTTACAGCCAGTTGCAGCATTCCACAGTCACATGACTGATTTATGATTGGGGGTTTCCCCCCCTGGTTTCTGGCCTTTTTGGACATTCTAGTAAGGAACACCCCTTAGAAATACATGGGTTCACTTAATGACCACTGTAAAAAAGTGAAATAATTCAGGTCCAGCTTATTTCTTTAAAAAAATTAATGCAATTTTATTGATAATGTAAATCTGTACCTTTAGCTTTTATATTCTGTTTTTGTTTCAGAATTTTGATAGTTGCCCTGAGTAATAGCCAGAGTAGAAAAATGGATTATAACCTAACTATTCATTCAAACCAAATAAACCAACGCATTATGGCTGTCATGACTTACAATATTCTGGTTATATGTCAGACTGGTTATATGTCGAGGGCTACCTACACCTAGTTTTTAAAGCTCCTGTGCTCTCTGGAAAATGCCAGTTACTAGCTTTGTCTTTATAGGGGAAACATTCATTTGGTTGTTTTGCTAAAAGGTAAAACAGACAAGGATATTTCAAGGTTTGTATAAAAGCTTCTTGCCGTTATTTCAGAACTGTAGAAAATGTGCTCTCAAAATTAAAAAAGAATGGCTGACTTCACCACTGATGATGAGCTCCTATTATAAATTGGCAATGCACACACACACACACACACACACACACACACACACACACCATGATGGGTGGCTTCCATACCCAACCAGCATTTTACTATTGGTAAAAGATAAAAAGGAATCTCCTTAGTCAGGAGATAAGATCAAGTTATGTGGTTGGAGAACTCTGAAGTTAACCAATGGAACTCTTTTTAGAAAAAGAGAAAGCATTGATTTGAATGAGTGATTAGATTATAATCCATTTTTCCACTCTGGGTAATACTCAAGGAAACTATAGGTAGTTCTCAATTTATGACCACAATTGAGTCCAAAATGTATATTGCTCAATGAGAAATTTGTTAAGTGAGTTTTACCCCATGTTTACGACTTTTCTTGCCACATTTCTTAAGCAAATCACTGTAGTTGTTAAATTATAAACACAGTTATTAACCCCCTGGTTTCCCCATTGACTTTGCTTGTGAGAAGGCTGCAAAAGGTGATAATATGATTCTGAGACAGTGCAACAGTCATAAATCTGAGTCGGTTGCCAAGAATCTGAATTTAAATTACATGACCATGGGGGATGTTGCAATAATCATTAGTGTGGAAAATGGTCCTAAGCCCCTTTTTTTCAGTGCCGTTGTAACTTCAAACGATTACTAAGCGAACTGTTGCAAGTTGAAGACTAACTGTATCAAAACTGTGAAACGAAAACAGAATATAAAAGTTAAAGGTAAAGATTTAAATTATAAATAAAATTGCATTAAAATAATTAAAAGAAGTAAGCATAGGATGACATTGCATTCTACAATCTGAGAACAATGGAGGAAGAATACACTGGCTTGCCTCACTGTTAGTGCGAACTTCTTCCAAAGAGTTCCTTCTACAGATCTTAACAACTGGGTAAGTCTGTAACAAGATGAGGGAGTTTCTAATAGGCAGCACTAAGACTTGTGACTTACCAAGATATAGACTGTGCCATCCATTCCTTGGATGCTGAACCTAAATGTGCTTCTAGAAAATGTGAGTTCCATGAAGCACCTGGCTACAACATTCTGTATAAAGGAAGACCTGTTTTGGAGCAGAAAAGACAATTATTTATAAAATACTAAGAAATACCATTATTTGAAAAACAAGTGAGAATGTCAAAAAAACATTCTAGGCCCAAGTAATTAACCTTTTTAAACCAAACTTTTTAGGTCCCGCTAGCTGTATTTTCAGTTTATAATCTCCTAGGTTGTGCTGCAACACATTGTTGTGGCAATTTTACACCCATTTAAAACAGAGAAGAAAATGTTGCCCTCATCAATTTGGAAGAACTGAGGCTGTAAATGGAACTCTGAGGGCCACATTCAGTTAGCAGTCTGCCCATTCGTCTTCTAGGACATTCTTGTCTCATTCCCCACTATCCTTCAGATCTATCAAAACAACACTGGTAGGACCTGCGATCCCAGGCAAATGGGACAGCATCAGGATGCAAGGCTACATCTGATTAAGTCACATTTTAGCATTTTCTAGTAGCATTTCTATCTTTCTTGGGACTCCATTGTGCAGCAGCAAGTATAAAACAGTGGAAGAGAAAAACAAGGAATTTTCTTTTTGGATTGGAAAAAAACAGGTTAAGAGAAGAAGAGGCAGGCATAAAACTTAGCAGTGGTCCATATAAATGAGCCTTCGATGATAAAATTGGCTCTTCAAATGGATTTTTTAAAATTAAAGCAGAGTATAATTAACAAATTAAAGTCCAAACCAGTTTTGAATTCTTTAAGCAATCCATTTGTTCTCCTGCCCTCATATTTCCATCCTTCTTCCATAGTTACAAAAACACTTTTTCCCTACATCATAATAAATTGCCACATCTATTTTGAATCCGAATGGGTCCAAGACAAAGTACTTTGGATTAACAAGAGTATGCACCAATCTTATTAACATTGCCTACCCTGAGTATATACTGGATCCACAGTATGGAGGAGTTTTCGACACCAACAGAGCTTTCAGAATTATTTTTTATTATTGTACATTTACAATTATGCAACCACATCACACTCCTGTCAGAAGCACTGAGGCACTTCCAGGTTGAAAACATTAGCTGGTAACATCACCATTGTCCAGTGGATGCCCCGTTGGGGGCTCCTTTCATGTCCTCAGCAGGAGCTGGAGCACAGGATAGGCGCTCACCCCACCCCACACAGCAGTACTCGGGTCTCAAACAGGGGCTTGCTAACCTCCAACTCAGCATCCTAACTACATGAGCCACCCTGCTCCTGTACAATTGCAATGACTCTCAGTATACACTTATTCTTGAACATCATTATATTTTTGATGTCCAGTGTGATGCAGGCATAAAACAAATGCTACAGAATCCCCCCTTTATATACCGATGGCAATGGACTACATTCAGTGATTCTTCCCTTCAGAATTACGTGTTTTAGTTAAATGTCACCCAACAATTAAAAAAGCAGAAACTTTAATGAATCCAAAAGCTGCATAGTCTAGAAAGTGATGGCTAGATACCAGCTTTTAATTGGCAATTATATGATTCATGGCAGAAATTAATTAAAGCAACATTAGGTTTGCATAATGTGCCACTGATTAACCCTAACCCTTGCTACAGCAGCACGTGAATGATTGGGTTGGGGACTTATTAATTCTGTTGTAAGCATACTGGAAACAATGATTTTACAAGGGCATTGTCAAGATATTAAAAGCATTTTCAAGGGCAGAATAACCAATATGAAAACCTGGATGGACCAATCAGAAAATACTTGGGTGAATCTGGTTTTGCAGATGCAGCAAGAGTGAACACTCCTCTACTTACTTTGTTACCAGCTACCAAAGTTGCCCAGACCTTGTTTGGGAAGAAGAGTGAGCCATATTTTCAAAGCTATGAAATAGGTTCAAGGACCTTCCATACTTTTAAAGTAACATGAAAGTGTTTTTTTAATTTTCAAAAATTTGGTAAGAATATTAAACAGTGCCAAAATTTCTATGTTCTTACATGAAATCTCATAACATCTGGGTGATTTATTTATATATTTAATTATTGCTTTCTTTTCAATTAATGTTTCAAGTTCACTTATTTACTAGGGGGTAGATTACAATGTTATGCAGAATCACACCATGGTGCCTGCCATATAAAACAATTGCTGATCTCTGCATTATGAGAACAAGCCACAAGATTCAATCTTCTCTATTTACCTCTTGTACAAAAGGACAAGATTCAGTCTTTTGGAGCTACAGACGGGCCAAAAGTATTGTTACTCTTTACTTTTTCCCAAAGAATCCCAATTTGCCATGAAACAAGTTGAAACAAGGCACCCACCATTTTTTACTCCATAAAGCAGAAAGTTTGCATCTGATATATGACATAACATATTCCTATAAAGAATAAAACAAATGGAAATGGCATAGCATAATTATTGGTATCTCTTTAGTAGTTAAAAGCCATTATTGGATTTAAGTGAGGGGTGCCTATACTTTTGGCCAACTCTGTAATCCAGAAGAGAGGTTGTGCCTTTAAAATTGGACATTAGAAATCTAAGAAACTGATACAGAGTCATCTAATGATCTCCAAGATCTTTGATTTGAATGTTTTTATTCCCTGACGTCAAACCCTAATTACACAATTGAAAGAGAAAGAGCAGGAAAAACCATATTTAGTGAATACACAATTATCATTACTTAAATTATATACAGGGTTTTGAATTAATTTCTCCAAAGAGAGCCATGCCTATCAAAAAGTTGATTTACATATAGTATTTAGCCAGCTATACCATTTTAATATAGAAATAAATGATACTACCTTGGTATTATGCAAAAGCTGTCTTCAGATGGCTGAACAAGCAATTCTGTGAAATAGTATTTTATGACACCTATGAGGGGGAAAATGACATTTTGTACCATATGAATTAATGTACAGTGACAGTATACTTAAGTCAGTAAGTCATGAAAACATAATGAGGAAACAAGTAACAAGTTTGAGGACATGGATCACATAGAACAAAGTGGTTAAGAGAGGAGCCATATTGAACTAGGACTAGAGAGAACACTAAAATGGAGAAAGGGACTCAAATATTAAACCTGTCTCTGCTGCCAACATTGCAACGATTTCTATCCTATCCAACTTAATTCCATATGTGCCCATATCAAACAACAAAATGGCATGGTTTTTTTTCTGCTTCGCCTTCCTTGTCTCATTCCTTCTTTCTCAACAGATCTACCACACCAGTTCTCTTACAAAATAAAATCAACTGGGAAAGTATTAAAAAATTAAAATTGTTATCTCTGGTAACCCTTAATGGACTTTTGCTGAGTAATAGGTTTTTTAGGTTTCATTTATCAGCAAGAGATGAGATAAATGAAGAAGAGATCGTGTGTTTCATTTTAAGACAAAGTGATATGTTAACTAAAATTATTTATACTTGCTGTGATGAAGGGAGGATATATATATATCCTTTTTTTAACCATATTCTTATTTTATTTTTTCCATCTTTTCTGTTTTTATTTATTTATTTTTTATTCTTTTAGTTTTCTTAGTTTGTATCATTTTTTAAAAAATTTCATTGTTATGCTTAATAAATTGAAATGATGCTTCAAATATGCTGAAAAGCATTCCAAGATCAAGGGGTTTTTCATTTTCAAAAAGGCAATTAGTTAAATGATGAGTATATATTAATTCAGAGCACGGCACACCATTAAATGCATCTTATATGACTAACAGCAGAAGCAGGTTGTAAATCCCATACTCCTTTTCAATTTTCCAAAGGCACCAGGTTGACTACTGTTGGATGCTAGACAACATGACTCTTTGAGTCTGGGTGTTCTTAAGAATTACAACTTGGAGCATTCTTAAAAATTATCCATAAGCACAGCTGGAGTCACCTCTTTTCACCTAGGCCTGATCCTGTCCCTCTTTTGACATGGAGCTGTGCAATAAATAAAATCTTAAACTTGTTAAACTTCTGCATGTCAGTTATTTATTAAAGACCCGAGAAAAGGATGAATTGGAAAAAAATATGTGGCAATTTCATAAATATTTACATTCTGCCACGCTTTCAAATTTCAGGGATGCTTACATTATTCAAATGCATTATTAATGCGTACAAAATCGAAACTGTTCCCAAAAGATTTTAAAATTAGGCTTTAACAGTCCAACCAAATGATGTGGTAGGGTAGCTTTTCCTCAAGCTGGACCACCTGGAGACATGTATATTTCAGCCCACACCCCAATTCCAAAGACAGATGGCATTTCTCTTTCTCTCTCTTTCTCTCTCCCTCCCTCCCTCCCTCTCTCTGATTTCTAATGTCTCCCTAATAGTATTCAATGCCTTTCTTTTCCTCTTCCTCAGCACTATCTTTGTCAAGAACTCAGTTCCTGTAAAATTGCTCACATTAAGAAAATAAGCCTTCCAATATTTTCTACTTCAAAAAAACTGTATGAAGAGTAACCATATTTTGCTTTGTAAACTGAAATCCTGTAGAAAGGATCTTAAAGTTGTTTTGAAATATCCCTTTTATTCACTCAACCTCTTTCCACTACCAGCCCCCAGCAACTGTCTTTGCTTTTCTTGTTCCCTTCTGCTACATATTAAAACAAAAAAACATGCTTTTGCTCATTCCAAAAAAAGTGAATTATCCTTTGACTCAAGTTCAATAGTTGGTGATATCACAGACACCCAAATCCTTTTTTTTTGGCAGTGGTTGGCTATGAAAGATTGTTTCAATTTAATTTCTGAACGTTTCATTAGCAGACTAAGTAACATCATCAGCAGAATTTTCTTTTCCTATTCTCTCCTTAGCTTATGTCTTGTGTGCCAGTGTGGTCAGTTAGTTGTGTGTCCTTTGCTTGGAAAATATACAGAAGGGCTTTGCTGTTTCCTTCTTCTGAAATGTATTTTTTGTCCCCAGTCTATTAATAGAGAGAACCAGTTTGGTCTAGTTGTTAAGGCACCAGGTTAAAATGACCATGAGTTTTGCTTTAGCCGTGAAAGCCAGCTGAGTGACCTTGGACTAGTCACTCTCAGCTCAACCCAGCACACAGGGTTGTTGCTGTGGAGAAAACATGAGGAGAAAGGTGTGCTGGGTTTATTTGCCATCTCGAGTCATTTGTACAAATATTAAAAGCGAGATATAAATGTATATATGCAATATGTACGTGTGTGTGTGTGTGTGTGTGTGTGTGTGAACGTATGTCCTGGGGCTTCCTGAGGGCTAATCTCCAGTTAACTTTTCAAGACCAGTCACTTCCCCATCTGCTGTACCCTAGCTAGATTTTTTTGTTGTTAAAATAAGAAAAAAGAAAAACAAAGGAAATAAGGCCCCCTTTCCTCAAAAAGAGGATTGATTTCATTGGGAAAGTAGGGGAAATTGTGTTATTCTGCTCAGGACTAATAGGAAAATGGAAGAAATATTTTATCATAGAAAGGAGCTTGGGGTGGCAAGACAGACTTACAGGAAATAGCAACTCTTCACATAATTCTTTGAGATGGGCAACTTTACTCCCTGGGAAGTAGGGGTATACCTGACTTTGCAGGTACATTTAATATTTATTTATTTTTTGCTCCTAAATCCAGACAACTTTTATGGCTGCTTAATGAAAATATATTTAGAATAAAAGAAAAACCTTGGTCCTTTCAAACCCATCTAAAAAACAGAAATTTTAACAGGTCATTTAAAAACCTCTCTAACAATAGGTGACTAAAACAGCTTTCAAAGATTTTGTCTGAGAATTCAGTACCTGAGGGCATAGCTTCTCCCAACAACATCTTGCAGCGCTTACAAATTACTTTACCATTTGCCTGTGAATTCTGCAAGGCAAAGAAAAAGATTTAAATGCCTTATTTGGTAGACACATGAGGAGAAAATCTGTTTAAAATTTCTACAAATAATTCAATCTATTGCCAATTTCCTCCTGTTATATTCCAGACAAATGAGACCATGTTTCTTTCAAATTCCCAGCATGAACATATTAATTGGTCATGAACAATGACCAATCAGCCCTTAAAAATGACTGAACCTGGTCCCCGCCATTACTGTCTACAATAAAGAGCCCACTAGTGCACAGTCATTAAACTGCGAAGCGGGTGATTTATTCGCAGAGAACATTTTATTAAAATTGTGTATATTCAGTCACCAAGAAGAGTGAAGACTTCACCATGGATTCTAGATTCGTGCATTGTAGAAAAGCAATAGCAAATTCAGCATCAAATTACCAAACGCTATTTGAGAAGAGGTATAATCATCAAACCCACATTTAAGAATGCAACATGCTCTAATATTTCATGAGCAGGCCTGTAAGTCATGTTGATTGAAATAATTATTTCCACTTTGCAACATGCTGGGTGAGAAAGGGAGGAAGAAAGTACAATGGCAGGTCATGTAACTTCCTTTGCAGAAAACTTAGGACATATCGAAATGGCCAGGCAAATATGACAACCCTTTTAAGAGAGGGCATGGATTGCTGTTGTCAGTCTAAATCAACTGAGCCATTTGGACCAATGACTTTGTTCATAACAGATTTACCTGTTATTATTTTGTTCATAACATTTACTTTTAATTGATAGGCAGAGGGGAAGAAAGTCAAAGAGAAAAACTGCCCACATATTATTAGATATACTCAGCAACTTGAAAACAGAACTCTGGACATGGATAGAAGGCATAGATGCAAAGACACTTCCCAACTTAAAGCATCCTGTTATTTTTATACCACAAAAAAACAGCAGAGCAAAATTCCCCATCACTGGCTTTTTGCAAATTCATTATCACGTAAGGTCCCATTACACAGCATGTAAACCCCACTTTTTTTTATCCTGTCCTTTGTTTTGGGCTCCCAGGTGACGTGACCAAAAGATGCACTACTGTATGTGCTAAAGAAACAAATGGACAGTTTAGTCCAAAGTTAACCAGTGAACATCAGGACTAAAGAGAGAGGTAAAATTAGATTGGTGCCCTTCAGACCTGTTAGATCAGAATTTCCATAATCCCCACCAGCTTGAATGTAATGTAGTCCAACACACTTAGAAGACAACTATTTTCATTGTCTGGACTAATAAAAGGCTATGCAGCTAAAATTCCTCAGAAGGACCAAATATGGACTTGAAAACATGCCTTTTTCCAAATTTTACAAGCAGTCCAAAGACAAAATCTATATAATTCTGAATCTGTGTAATATAAATTGAACATAAATTCCCAGCAGCAAACCTAAAATTCCGTGTTAAAATGAACCCTAGTTTTATGGCATAAAGAAGAATTATCTAGTCTATACATCTGGCACTCATTATCTATGGCCTTATTTTCTGGTTTCTTGATATATCCACAATTTAAAATATGTGCTAGAATTTAGTGTCTGTAATATGTACAGCTTTGCATATCTAGTTTCCTGCCACATTTTTTGGAATACTACAGATACTTATAATGTGGATGTTTTTTTCACAGTCTCATTATCTGTGATTTCATTATCTCAGGTTGCTCAGCAGGAAGAGAATTCCTGCAAATAACAAGGACAATCTGTAAACAGTATGCAAGGGAACTAATCTTGATTATACTTTTGCTGAAAACTATGCTAGGTAATTTAATATTATCAAAGAAACCATCTGGATTGGAACTAAGTCTGCCTTGTTTTCAACTGTATCCAAACATATGATTTTAAAAGGAGTATTTATTGATTTATTTATTTAATGCATTTCTTTATTAGATTTAGAGACTGCCCAGTTCCAAAATGACTCTTAGTCACGCTAAATATAAACAATGCTAAAAATAAAAGAACTAAAGGAAAATAATAAAAAGAAAATCACAAGCATCAGACAACCATACTCCCTCTAATAAGAAACATCACCAACAGACTCAACAAATACACTTCCCCTAAGGCCCAGGAGAATAGCAGGTTTTTAAAGACAACCGGAGCATCATGAGGATGGGAGCAATATCTAGAAGAATATTGGGAAGCCTCAACTACAACTCTACAACAGTCCAACTGTGAGGCCACTAGAATATCAGCGACTGTTCAGAGGGCTTCCTGATCCAGGAACTAGAAATGTAATCTGTGATTATCTCCAAGCAGAGTTGACAAAAGTTTCTCAGACTCTGAAGGACCAGGTCAATTCAATTAGTGCCTCCAGAATTTCCCCAATTCTTTGCCATTAGCTGTATTGTTTGAGGCACCAAGTTCCTTCCCTCTACTGCCAAACCTAATTCTTAGCTCTGTGGACCATGCAAATTCCCCTTCTTAGGCTTCTCCTGGTTTTTTTATCTTATTGCACAATATGCAGACACTGCTGAACATGGAAGTTTTTTCTTTTTGTTTTTAACAAAGCCACTGTGGCTAATTGTTTTTGGATTATTTATTTTTAATTCTAATTGTCCATTAATTCACAATGAATATAAGTAGCTTACGCTCTAAAACGTTTTCTTACAAAATCAACATTCAGAGGTTATGTTGCATTTTGCACACAATTCTGATGTTACCACTCTGTGGTCCAATATATTTTCTTCTGATTAGAACTTAATGTAAGGATGATAAAAAGAAGGGTCACGCACCAAGAACTCCGTGGTTTTGCTGACCTGAACAGAAATAACAGTATGTTTTTGCCACACAAATTAAATCAATGTATCTTGTGTGACAACTTTCAGCTGTTGGCTAGCTGTACACTATTTTTTCCCCCTACTTCTATCTGAAAATGTCCTTGATATTGTCTGGAAGGAAACATTTTCCTCTAGAGATAAGCGGTAAGAACAGTTTGTGACCTTGCAGCATCTAAAATTATGTTGTGTGATGATTTGGAGAAGAGTTGTCTGAAGCATAGGAAATAGGTTGGTGTCAGCGGCACACAGTTTGGCACACAAGCAAGAGCTTCAGGGTTCATTATTCAATGACTTATCACCTGCTGAGACTTAACAAAGTGGGTGAAATGCTCCATTAAGGAGTCCTGTTTCAAGTGATGTGGAGGGCTGGCTAGGAGGAGTCCTTTCTTTCTGTGATGGCTGTTTCACAGATCAAGTTATTGCCTGATGTTACAATCGCCAAGTGATGAAAATACACTTCAGCATTCTCCAAGATTTATGAGAAACAATAGCCTTCAAAGGCAAGGCACACATAATGATTTCTTTGTGCATGGGGAAGAAGCAAGGGAAGGAGATTATATTACAGGCCTTTAGCTCTTCCAGTTATAAATACAAGGGTTTGGACCCTGCTTATGATTTTATCGAATGTTGTTGATTTTTATTGTTCTCGGGTCCGTCCCCCCCGTCCCCCCAGATAACTGGGAACTCTCTGTTATTGTTTACAACCAACCGAATTAAAAATATTATAGTATATAGCACTGACTAAAACAAACTTTAAATCATATATAAATAGGATCTAATCTGGGACAGTCACCAAGACCAGAGGTTTGTTCTTCCAAGAGTTCAGCCCATCCTCAGGGAACTTCTCTCTAGCAGAGTGTGTGCTTGAGAGAAGTTAGAGATAAATTCCCAGAGGATGGGCTCCAGCACAAGTCTGAAAGCTCAGAAGATAAAACCTCTGGGTCCTGGTGACTGACCCAGATTGAATGCTGCAACATTATCCTGGGACACATATATCCGCCTTCATTCATATGAAATCAATTATATAATGAAACATCTAATGTTCTTTGACTAAGAGCTGACAAACAAATGCAATGATTGTGTAGTTTTGGTGGCACCATTTTCTTTTAAATTAACAGTAAAGAACATGCACTTTCTTTGTTCTAGTTGACATTTAAACCAGTAAGATCTTGTTAAAAATGAATAAGGCTATATATAAATCTAGCAATGCAATTATACATGACTCGCTGACTTTCTCACCTGCTCCAACAGTCTTGAATGGCAATAGGAATATTACAACGTTTTCCCATCAATAAGAGGTTGAACCTACAGTGATATAGTCTTCTGCATCCTATTTAAATGTTAAACAAGTAACTCCTGACTCTTCCAGGCCAAGTAGTGATCAGAAATCATACTCCAATCTTTAGAAGTTCAGCATTATTTGCCCGTGCCTCAAGGAACATTTTATTTGTTTAACCCAAAGTATTTATGGTCTTCTAAGTCTGCCAAGGTGTAGCTCAATTTCAGGGAGAGATTTCCAGGACAGAAAGCTGTGCTGTGAAAAAGTGACTGATTTTCAAAAGCATCAAAAGATCCAGAGATAAAAGCTACATAACCCAGCTAGGTAAAGTGGAAGAACTGCTTCAGATCACTCAGACTCCAAATGTGGAGAGCCATTTTATATGCAGTGATGGATTGTACAAATGGCTATGAGAAATTTGGACTGAATAACCAGGTTTCCAAACTCCTTAATCAGACACATCCGGACCCCACATAGTAACTTCTGATCCTGATTTCAAAATCTTTTAGCACTGGAGGGATGTAATTTCCATGCTTGTCACAAGAGATGCAAGAGTAACTAATAAATTCTGCTACATTTTCCCCGTAGAGATCATCACTGGATTTTTCCAGAACCAGAGGGGTGAAAAATAATTAATACATCTCAGAAGGCTATCTTTGCTTTTATAATGTTCTGGTTAATTTGCTTTCAGTTTGCAAAGCTCTTTATAGAAGCTATACTTTTCATGTTGTGACAGTTTATAGTTCATTTATTTTTTTAACCAAAGGACATTGTGTAGTAACATAAGCACATGTCATTTAACCTTATACTGGCTGGGTCTGCATACTGCACCACACTACAAAATGATTTGTTAGAGTTTGGCTTACCCCAATAAGCAAATTCAAGTACTATGATTTTCAAAATATAGTTTATGGCTTAGCCTGTTACATTTTTCAGGCAAATGAGGCTTTCCTAGCTTAAACACTATCAGTGAACCCAAACAACTATACCAACAAATCTTCTTGCTACTGTGATCTTCAAAATCTTTGGCACACACACACACACACACACACACTCTCCAAACAATTATATAAGAGTTAAATCCAGGAACTAGGATCTTCAAATGATGTCAGACTACAAGGCCCATAATGACCAGAATGTGGTGAACTCAGTTTCTAGGATCTGGCTTAATGAAAAAAGCAGAGTACAATTGTGCAACTCAAAGGAATGCAGTCTTTTGCCTTATTTTTTTGTATATATTTACCAAAACACTCTCACTACTTGTAGTCCACTCATCCTCTGAATGAAGCTTTCCAGTTTCTGTTTCTGATAACTCAGTTCTTGAATTAATCAGGAGGTAATTGTGTCCAAGGAAACAGTCATCAATTTGGGGATGAAGCAGGCTATCGTTGAAAGGGTTAGGATGGCAACACCATTCGTCAACCAAATCACTCCAGTTCTCAAAAGGAAGTGAAAGAACCCGGAGAAATATCCTAAGCAAGAAGAGAATGAGTTGATTACCATAACAAATACAACAAAAATCCAGGCTGTACAGACTTCAGAACAATTGTATGAATACACAAAAGGGACCAGATTTTCTGCTGTTTCTGATGCTGAGAACCATCCATAAAAATTGAGAATAAGGGGCAAATTATAACTGTGTTGGGGAGAACTTATATTTGTGTATCTTAACATAATGTTACCTGGACCACATGGGAACAATTGGTATAGGGCTATTAATGGAATTGAATGGTTTGATTCTGTTATGGAATAAAAGCAGCTTCCAACTGAATATACTTCACAAAAAACAATTTACCCTTAAACATTAGATGGGGTGGATCAGGGGAACAGACAATGGTTTGTAGAAATTTAAAACAGATTTTTAAAGTAGGAAGCACAAGGTAGCCCTGCATTTTTTATTCTTTCAAAGATGCCAACTAATATATTCATATTTTATACATACATACATACATACATACATACATACATACATACATACACATTCAATCACTGCATTGAATGAATACAGATGTCACTATGGCTAGTTGAAGCAAGGGGGAAACTGGACTTTACTAATAATCCCATTTACTCAATCCATTTTCCTGTATTATTCAGACATTAAGGAAAGCTTGCAATGGTAGGTTTAGTGTTTTCTGCACTATTTATCCATCATACTTGCTTCATTTAAGGTTGTGTTAAATTTTGATAGCAAACAATGCTAGTGGGGTTTTTCCCCCCACAGGCTCAAAACTTGTCACACTAAATTTAATGCAAAAAAAGGATAAGTTTAAAAAATAATCCTTGCAATTTATTTTTCAGTGTTCCTTTAAAGCAAATGTGCAATGATATTTGGGATTAATGAAGAAGGGTCGAGGCCAAAAGAGAGAGCTGAAGAAAATTAATTTAAAGGGCATGCTACCCAGTTCCAATCTGGTAAATGGCAAGGGCAGTACCATGAAAAATATTACGGCTATATCTCATGTAGAAAAACAATCTGTGAAAAGCATAAACATGGCTCAGTAGTCAGGTGACACAACCTCTCCAGTCCTCAACAATTATGGCTTTGTAACCTCTGCCGCAGAAAAACAGCCAGTCTCTGATTAACTAATATAAGGTAGCAAAGTCTCTGCAGCTTCAGTTAGTGGGAGATAAAAAATTCTCCTGGCCTACACCATGGACAAAAAAACTAAAAGGAGTGGGGAAAAAGTCCCTCTTTGGAATTAAAAGCCAAAACTCATACAATGAACCAGACAAGCATGCTAATGGTACATATTAGCATGTTTGGTACATCCCAATAAAATATTTTTTTAATTAATTATGAACAACATTCACTTTTTCAACATGACTACCATTTTCTCAACCTCTGATTTTAAAACAAAATCCAGTTTAAAAATGACCCGTGTTTTTCCTGTTGCTGGAAATCTTCATCTCCTGTTTTTCAATTGAAAAGGTCTCAAGACAGAACATTGCAAGACATCTAAAAATATTGATGGTGTTAATAAAAGTAAAAAGAACAGGGGTAACAAAAATGCCATTCATAGTGCACAAGAACTATTGTATACTGGCAATAGAGATTTTTAATCTTTCAAAAGGACACCAAATTCCTTATCTTTCTCACCTGGGTTTCACTTCCAGATTATCTGGGTTCAAACTTCACCAGCTGCTAATTGCGATTTGCGAATACATTCATCAATAGGAAAAAAAATCTCACAGAGTACAGTACTTACCTATTATTAATTACACTCTCCCCACAATGTTGACAGAAAAAAGTACAACTCTTTTTGGATTTTAGGCCGTTACCAACAGCTGATGTCAATTCTGAAATATATTGAAGAACTTAACTAACAAAGGTAAAACTACAGTTACACCAAGAATTTAGTGTAGCACTGGATTCACAACATTTTATACTATCTATTTTATTCACCATATCACCTCAGTAATGAGGAAATATTCCTGAAAGAGAGACTTGTATCATCACACCAAATTCCACACAATGAATTTTAACCCTACAGCTTGAAGATCACATAGCAAGATCATAGCTGAAATATGATTTGTACCAAAAACTTTCTGGAACAATTTCCCCAGTCTTGGTGATGACTGGATTACTGACCTTCTCGTCTTAAAAATAACTGTGCCAACTGGAGAATTCTGCAGGTAAGTCCAACATGTGTAGAAAACCACAAGTTGGAAAGGTTGCTTCAGAGGATAAGCCTTCAGTGACATGATGACTGCTAGTCAGGGATCTTTCTAATTCTCAAGGATCAAATGGCAAATATGTTTCATGCCCAATGTGGCAATGAATCTTGACTCTCACAACTCTCAGGAATTTTTTTATAATAGAAGTTCATGACACAAGTATATTAATTGCTCTAGTGCAGGCAAAAAAAAGAAGGCATCTGCCTCCTACAGTACATAAGGACCAAGCTTATGTAGGTTTCAATATAAGGCCTTTTGAAGACAATGGAGATTTGGCCATTTTCTTCACAACCTTGAGATTGGGAGCCTTCATGTTGACATTATGATTCTGAAAAACTGGTTGTTCCTCACCAGCTTCACTTCATGACTTTGAACATCAACTCCTCATTCAATTTACACTATTTTCATTACATATAGCTGGTCTTTGTAATTATGCCTTAAATAAAGTTTGAATTGGATGTTTTTGAAGAATTAAATCATTATAAAAATTTATTATCACTGTTAGTTTCAAAATTAAAGGCTTTATTAAAATGAACATTATGAAAATATATTCTGTTAATACATGATTAAATAATTTGTCGCTCCAGAAAGGTTCTTTAAAAATTCTTTAAAGAAATAATCTGCTATTTTAAAGTTCTGCTAATATAAGCACAAATCCAGTCAAGCAATGCTACATCCAATCTGTGAATAACATGACACTGGAAAATCTCCTATTTACAGGTGACATTTCCGGTGAATTATAGCAATAGCAATAGCACTTAGACTTATATACAGCTTTACAGTGCTTTACAGCCCTCTCTAAGTGGTTTACAGAGTCAGCATATTACCCCCAACAATCTGGGTCCTCATTTCACTGACCTCGGAAGGATAGAAGACTGAGTCAACCTTGAGTCTAGTGAGATTCAAACTGCTGAACTGCTGGCAGCCAGCAGAAGTAGCCTACAGTACTACATTTTAACCACTGTACCACCACGGCTCTTTATAGGGTGATTATATACATTTACTGATAAATAACCTGCACAGAATCAAGACCTTTAGCTCTTAATAAGTGTAGGTGGAGTTAAGATTCCTAAAGAGAAAAATAAAATGCAGAATATGTAGCATTAGCAGAGGAATAAAAATATCATTTTCTGATACAAGCAAACAGAATAATTTCTTAAATCTCAACATCTCAGTCAGGAAAGCTGTTTTAATAATCTGTTTATATTTTGCATATTAAAATATGTCAACATGTCTTCCTAGGAAGCATGACAATTGATTTTCATGAGATACAGAACAAGGAATAAATCCAATAAAATCCAAGTCAAACCAATGAAATTTTGGAAATAATGAGAAAAAATAAGTATCCTAAATTGTGATTACCTTATCTACTAAACACTAGGTTTTGTCTCCTAGTCCAATGATTTATAAATGCAGCAATGTTTTATAAATACAGCTTTCCTTGAATACTCTTCACTCTTCTTAATTTTGATGGTTTTATTTTACAAGTGAGCGTTGAAGTGGAGATCATCATCAAAAAATAAATAAAGGAAAAAAAGGAAAATTCACTCTTACTTGTACTGAAATCTGCTTGAACAAGCAGCCTCATATGTAAGCCTTCCCCAGGCTGATATTGTAGTCCTCGGCAAGTAGAAGGCACAATCCTGACCTCTGGTGGAAGGCTGAAAGCTCTGCAAGCTTCAGCACTTTTTAGCTCTATTAAAGATGGCATCAGAGTAATATCCACAGGCCAGCTTTCTGGATTTAATTCACTACAGGGATTTAAGAAAGAACAATAATATCCCATTAGCAAATAGTTGCAATAGAAATTCACATGGCTTGGAAAGTCTCAAAAGGAGATATTTGAAATTATTGAAGGCATTTCTGTACTTCACTCCATAAATGGATGCAATGCAAACAAACAAACATGGAATAATTAAGTCAGTTAAATCCAACATTTTGCACAAATGGAAAGCAAGCTGATAATGAAGTCTCCTGTATCCTTGATTAGGACTGAGAAATGTACAAAAGATTATGAAATATGTCATCCCAGATTGCACTAGGATGGGGAACTGCCAAAATAAGGAACCGCCCATGATTGTCTGTGGAGATTCTCAGTCATCCAGTTATCACGGTTGTTTCAAAGGTGCTTTTTTGTCTTCAAAAGGCAACTGGACTGTTTTTTCCTTGAGGAAGAAGAACAAAACATTTTGTTTCTCATCCAAGATACTTCATAAGTTGTGATGGCGGGAGGGAAGGGAATGGAAAGATAGGTATCAACAATAGAGACTGAATGGTGAGGGGATGGAAGAATGGGTTCGGATAGGACGATGGGGGATTGGATGGAAGGATTGTATTTCTTTGCAATCATCTGATCGTTAACACTTTCTCTGAAACCTTTTGAGGCCACTTGAGGATTTATCTGTGCCCTCAGGGTCACCTGAATCCAGAGTGCAATTGGTTGTGGAATCTTCTTGAAACTGCTGAAAGGACCACATTTTGGAGAGGAGTTAGGTGGTTTCTTATTCCTCCCTGGGCTGCTCAATTCTAACATAGATGGATTCTTTTACCCCTCTTTCCAACCAGTAGAGAGGATTGTTAGAATTGAACACTGACGAAACTTATTGGATGAGAAGCGAAACATTTTCTTCTTCCCCCTCAAGGAAAAAAACATTCCAGTTGGTTTTTTGAAGGAGGATTGTGTGAATTTGGGAGTAGGGAGGAAAAAGCAGAGAGAGAGGAGCGTCATCTTGAAAATGCCTCCTCTTGTCTGTGGGTGTTGTATGTGTGCCCCAAATGGGCAGAACTGCAGCCCAGCACTGCTTTCGCCATTCTGCTGAAAGCTGCAAGATTGTTCAGATGCTGTTGCTTTGGAAATAGCAACATCCTAAATCTAAAAAGGGAGCATTTTAATTCCCCGGGTCATGCTGTATGAGGTTTCAAGGCAGCAAAAAAAGGAAAAAGTTACAGAAATTGATTTCATCACAAAATAAAATAGTCCGTGTAGGATTCAATAAAGGAGAGAACACTATCTATCACCCACGCTTCTAATCTAATCCTATCTAATCTTCCAGAAACATTACTTATGGTAATTAGCTGTTTGGGATAGGAGTGACAAGGCGACAGGAGTGTCACATTATGTAATTCATAATTACATAAATCTCGTTTCATAATTTCCCCTTTTCGCTCTCCTGCACACATTATTTAAAATACTGTTCTGTCAGGTTGGTATTTCACACATTTTCTGAAGCTGATTTTGATCCATGAAGGCTTATGTGATATACAGTACACCTCTTAAGATTAAAAAGCATCAGAAGAGGTTTCGGTCTTAGCTGCAAATCCATCTAGTCATCCCTCCAGAAATCATTTCCTATGCTCCTGGCATGGACTTCCTACATGATTATTGTATTTCTTTGTTATTGTATTGCTCTGCAGACTGCACCGGTCTCCATCACTGAAGACCTATAGCAGGACTTGGATTGTAGAAGCATGACCTTAACTTTTTGGGACATAGAGGCAAAGTTGTAATTCCTAAACCTGACTCAGATATTCTCAAAATGAAAAGTATGGGTTGGAATGCCAATTCACAACTAGCTGTTGTGGAAAGCATAGCTGATCACAAGATGTAGTAGTTTCTCCCAAAGGTCATTCTGTGAGGCAAAAATGTTGCCTCTTAGAAAACATCATTAGGAAAATAGGTGTAGTAAAGTTTTGTGTGTGTGTGTGTGTGTGTGTATGTGTGTAAAATAAAAAAAATTAAGATCAAAACCAAATTTTCAGTTCACAGCAGGTAAAGTTTGGAGAAACACATTGCATGCGAATAAATCCTTACATCAACACACACACATGCATTTAGAAAAGGCAAAATTAGTTTAGTTTACTTTATTGTCATTGCACCTCATACAACGAAATCAAACACCATCTTCAGTGTACATCATGACCATGACGATGAAGATAAATACAAACACACATCCTTCACCCTTCACACATTGAACCAGAAACCCCCGACACCACACCAACACTGCACTATACAGCAGAATTCAAAAGAGCTACTGCCCTGGGATAGAAGCTGTTTTTCAGCCTATTTTGTCCTTGTTTTTATTATTCTGTACCATCTGCCAGATGGTAATAGTTGAAAAAAAAGGGTGCCCAGGATGAGATGAATATTTGAGAATGTTTTGAACTTTCTTAAGGCAGCGGGAGGTATAAAGCTCTTCCAAAGAGGGAAGAGGGCAACCAATGATCTTCTGGGCAATGACATTAACCCTCTGGAGTGCTTTCCTATCTGCCACTGTGCAAAAACCATACAGAGGTACAGTATGTTAAAATGCTCTCTATGATGCAGCAGTAGAAGGTCACCAGCAGTTTTTCATTCAGTTGTTGTTTTCTGAGAAGTCTCGGGTAGTATAATCTCTGCTGGGCCCTTTTGACCAAGGCTGCAATGTGGGCACCCCAAATTGACCCCCAAAGTATTAAGAAAAACATGTATTACATATATACACAGCAAAAACATACTGAAGTGGGATGCATTTGCATGCAGTGTTTGGGATGTCAGGATAAAAACATTCAGCAACACATTCCCTTCATGGTAAATTTCCCTTGCAAGTGTGCCCCCAAGACATTCAATTCCAAAAGCCCATTATCATCAAAGCTGTGCATTTTCCATTCAATGTATAGACAATTGTATAGACATGATGTCTTGGCACATAGGTTCACGGAAGTAATGGACTAAATGTTGGTACTCTACTGCTGGCTAATCTCCCAGGTTATTTTTTTTAATACTTTCTATGGGAAAGTACTGTAGGTATTATGGAAATGGAAAGGAGGGACAGCAAATAACAAGGATACCAGAATCTTTGAGGATATTGTAATAAACATCAGCAGTGAATGAATGAGCTCAGTTAAGCAGTATACTGTTAGCAATAGCACTTAGATTATATACCACTTAACAGTGCTTTTACAGCCCTCCCTAAGCAGTTTACAGAGTCAGCATATTTCCCACAACAATCTGGGTCCTCATTTTACCAACCTCGGAAGGATGAAAGGCTGAATCAACCTGGAGCCTGGTGAGATTTGATCTGCCAAATTGCAGGCAACCGGCAGGCAGCAGAAGTAGCTTGCAGTGCTGCATTCTAATTACTGTACCACCATGGCTCTTTTAGCAGCTTTTTATCCAACATACTAATTTCAATTAAGATCCAAGATTCAAGTAAGATCTTGGATTGCAGGACGCCTCTAGGCTGCCAGGACAAACTTTAGAATAACCAGTTGAATATGTTGCAGCACAACCAGCACCTTCAGTGCTTACAGATTTATCGTGCCGTAAGTTTGTGTGGACTAGAAATCACCTCACCAGATGTCATTTTTGAAGAAAGATTTTGGCAATCATCTTGAAAAGAGAAAACAGATCAGCTTATAAAAGGAGACAGCAAGACTACCCTAGAAAGGAAATGTTTCTCCTGGGAAACACTGTTTACCTATCTCTCTTTTTACTGAAAACCCTTTGTTCAAATTATATTTGAAATCTTAGCCTCTCACTCTTATTGGCACAATGTGGAATTCCTTAGATAATCATGTGAGAGAAGCTTCTGCTCAGAAGAAAGGCTTATTCACCGGGAAACGTATAATTTATGCATTCCTAACTAATTTTAAAAGCCCCCTTCAAGCAAATAATTGAGGCTTCTGGCAAGGAAGTTTTCTATCTCCCACAGTGGTCTATTAGATTAAGGAAGGGAGTGGGTGGGCCCAATACAGATGTAAAATAAGAGGTAGCCCCAACCAATATGATATGCAAATTGCAGATGACATGGGGCCTGTATTAAAAGAAACAAAACAAAACCACTAAAAGCGATAGTATTGGAAGAAAGTGACATTATTACAGTATGTAGAACTGAGATACTTTTCTTCTATTTTAGGGAAATGGATTACTTATTTTGTTTCTTGGTATGAGAGATCTAAAAGAAGGTTTCTAAAGAGTTATTCCAGTAAAACCTGAGGGAAAAAAGTTCTGCTATTGCACCAGCATGACTTCAGAAAAGTCTGTAGCTATCCAGGACATTACTCATCTCTTATACTGTATAAAACAGAGTTGATGCTATTGGGAACCCACAGGTGATTTAGTATTATATCACTTCTTGGAGGACTATGTTCCTCTAGGGAATTATATAAGATCTCTTCTAATACCGGTAATTGCTTCCCAGTAAAATATTTTTCCTGAAATGGATTTCTTCTATTTTGGTAACGTGATATTGCAGAATCTGGGAGGAATAGGGTTAAGTTCAGTAAGTGGTGCAACACTTTAGAAACAAGAGAAAAATATTGATGATCCAGTTTTAAAGAACCAAGTTTCTCTGTATTGGACAAAGTAACAATTTTGATGTTTGGACCTTAAATGATCAGATCAGAGTCTTTCGGAAGACAACCAGGCTCAGTTTTGAAAGTATTTGTTACAATTAAATTTGCTGAGAATAAGAGCTCAATTTTCAGAGATTATTTTTTCATCACCATAGTAATTGCAAATGATTGGTAAACTGGCAGTTGCTAAATGAGAACTACCTGCAATGTTTCCAGTGAGCAGTCTGGTTTTTAGTTTGGAATGATGTTTTTCTTGCATTCTAAAGTATTCTCAGCCATTCTCTCCCACAGCAGAAAGATATGTGCTACTGTTACTTAAAACAGGGCCTTTGAAGGCTAGAAGAGACATAAAGACATGTAACATCACTGACATATTCTTCCACCACCACCTCTTCTCTTATAATTGATGTTTGAAGATCCCCTGGGAACATCAGCCCTCCCTATTTTACATTTGCTCCCTCAAGAAGTCAGCTGAGAGGATCCAGTGCTTGGGATTAGTATTTTATGACAGCTTCCATTTATTCAGGCATCATAAACCCTTTCCTTTCGGTGGTATGTATCTTTCACACAGAGTAGTCTTGAGATAATGCAGGCCACAGTGTACAAAATCCATTCTTGATTTTACTAATTTGTAGTGGCTTCCATTCAAACAGTTCAAGAAGTTCAATTTGGACTTCCGGTGGCACTTCCATCAAGGACGGATGGAGACCGCAATCATGTGTGGCTTTGATCCATGCTTACTCTGTTGGAGGCGTCCCTACAGGACCGGAACCATCAGACCCATCTCGGAGGGGTGGGGGAAGAGGGGGAGACTGCCAGCCGGGTTGAGGGGAGCTGCACCTCCCCTCCCTGGCTTGGTATACTCCCCTGGAAGTCAGGGAGAAGCGGCAGTTTTAATGGCTGCCCTGAAGCTACCGGGACCTAAGTGTGTGCTGGAGACGTGAAGTGGTGAGTGGCATGTATCCAGACAAGAGAAGCTGAAACTTTTGTTTTAATAATCCCGAAAAGTAGAAAGAAAGATTCCTTGCTTGAGAGTACAACAGCAGCGAATAGAAAACAAGAGGACAATATAAGGTAAATAAAAAACAAAAGAGCTATAACGAAATTAAGGATGGAATTGGAAATAATATACAGAATAATAAGAATACAGAATAATATACAGACACTAATCAGGCATTGGATAAAATGCTGAACTTGCTTGGAATCGATTATACTTTAAAAAAAAAGCCAGTGGTTGAAATGTTTGAAAATTAACATTAATATAAGTGAAAAAAGGGTGGGGAAAAGAACTTTGAAAAGTGGAAGTGATATAGAGCACCACCTAATGGTACAAGACATTTTTTCCTAGATGACTTTATGGAAAATTACTGGTCTGTTAAATGTGTGAATGAGAAAAGACATGAAATAAAAGACTTTAACATAACAAGAACCCTGGAAGCTTAAAAGAAAAAGGGGGAGATTGCAGCAAAAGGAAAAAGGAAGGCAATATCTTGGGACTGTTGGGGGTTGACTGGGCAAAGGAAATAAAAGGACCAATAAGGAAAAGAGATATAAATGGAGTCTCTTGGCAAGGATTACAATTAAAATAAAGAATAACACAATTGATTAAAAAAATGGAAGAAGCAAGCAAAGAATTTAAGTTGGAACTGCAAACTGTGAAAGAAATGACAAAAAAAAAAGAAGGGGACTATTGGATACACTGGCAGAAAAACTAATGCAATTTATAGCAGAACAAAGGAACTCTAGAGAGGAGGAATCAAAGGAAGATGAAAACAGCCAAGGTGGACATGAAGATTCAGAGACATTGCCAAAAGACACAAAAAGAACTAAAACTAAGACATTGATGACAGAGACAATAAATAAAAGGGAAAAAGCTCCCAAGAGTAAGAAAAAGAAGAAGCTGTACAAGAAGAAATTTCAAAAAAGAGAAAAAGAAAGGATAGGAGGAAAGATGGGGGACTGGCAGATGGAAATAAATGTAATATTAGAGGAAAAAAAGAGGGATAAAGAGGAAAGGCCAGGCAAACTTAGTAAAGGGAAATCTGGCTAAAACTAAGAAATGTGACAAGGCCGAGAGATTTAGAGATAAGGGTTAGATATAGCATAAAAGGGGGATATCACATGGGAATGTATCTTTGTATTTTTATTACAAATGTAGACTGGGAAGATTTGAAGTTTATAACTTACTGGGAATTACCCTCAGATTAGATCATTATAGAGGAGAAAAATGAAGATGGAGTGAGCGATATTAAGAGGGTTCTATTGTTTATTAATCCTTTCTTTTTATATTATGTATGTATGTATGTGTATATATATGTGTGTGTGTGTTTTCTTAAGTTTATTTAACACAATACACAATACAGAACACAATACAGAAGCCTGATGATGGCACATGAGATTCTGCCGAAATGTTGCTATAACTTTAAAAGCACAACTATAATGAAGTGGGAAAATACCCGAACAAAGCTGAATAACATTTATATATACATACATACATACATACATACATACATACACATACATACATACACACACACATATTTTAAAATATGCTAATGATTATTTAAATATTAGGAAAACAGAGAATATGACCTGGGTGAAAATCTGGTATTAATTAGGTTCAAAAAGTGTGAATTAGGGTTATATACATGTTATAGGTTGAAATTGGTCATAGGGAAATAAAAGGGGAAATTAACTCTGTTTTTATTTTTCTTTCTTTGTGGTATACATGAAATAGAAAATATAACTGATTATACAAAGGATATGAGAAAATAGAAAATATAATGAACTGGAAGGGACTATGTGGGAATGTAAAATATTTATAATGAATGAATTATACTATAAGGGGAATGAAAATTTATTAAAATTATATAGGTAAATTTTGGAAACAAAGAAAAAATATGAAATTATATTAATATATCTGGAATATATATAAGATATATTGTAGATGGGGGACATACCATGTGGATCCCAAATGTATTAAGCTTACTTTACTTTTACTTGTTTTTTCTTTCATTGATTGTCTAATTACATATTGGTCTTGAGAAAGTTATAGACGATAACAATACATAAGGTGACATAAAATAGGTGGTAAACTGAAAATGGAAATAATAGGGGATAAAGAATTGAAAATATATGTGAGGATGAAATGTTTTTGATATTGAATTAATGAATTGAAATATGGAAGGAAAATTTATCTAAAGATTAGTTGAATGGATAATAATTTGAAGTAGTATTAATTAAGAAAGTTGAAAATGTAACTATGACTATGTATAAATATTGTAATCTGGAATCATGTTGCTCACGTGAAGAGATTTGTAAAAAATAAAAATAAAAAAACTTTGGGAGAAAAAAAGAAGAAGTTCAATTTGGTTACAGTACTGCTAGGTAAGCGCAAGAGAGCCAGTTCGGTCTAGTGGTTAAGGTGCCAGGCTAGAAACCAGGAGACTCTGAGTTCTAGTCCTGCCTTAGCATGAAAGTCACCAGGATGACCTTGGGCCAGTTACTCTCTCTCAGCCCAATCCACAGGGCTGTTGTGGGGAAAACAAGAGGGCAAAAGGTATTATGTATGTTTGCTGCCTTGAGTTATTTATAAAAATAATAAAGGTCAGATAGAAATAAACAAACAGAACAGCACCACACAAGCTTAAGTGATAAATATGCTTTAATAGAGGGCAACACTTTCTGGAGTTTGTTCTGAGAACTCAGCTGCTTTATTTAATTTGAAAGCAGCACAGTGGATGTATGCAAGGCACAGGAGATGTGCATCAGCTGTTTATACTTATCTATATAAAGGCATTTTAAAAGAAGAGGGGGGGGATGGTAAACTAACAGAAGGTACACCTTAAGGAAGTATTGATAGGATACTTGACATTCAACTCAGTTCTGTGCTTCTCAAACTATTTAAAGGGCCTGAATCAGTTTAGGGAAATCGTTCAAGTCAAAAGGTATACATTTTTTCCTCAAATTAATGCATTTATTGTCTGGTAATGCAGACATTTACTAAAGTATGACAGTATGGAAAGTGATATTGTAGAAGTTTTACAAAAAATAATCACCACTGTCCTGGGTGGAAAATGGTAAGCTAAAGACAGGCCTGTAAGAGAAGAAGCGTTTCCTCCGTGGGAAAAAAGATGGAACATAACCTAACCCGGCAATCCCTGCCTGTCTCAAAGTGGGAAATGAAGCAGGGTGAACGGGTGGGGGGGAATCAAACATAAAGCAAAGAAATAAAGTACCGAATAATCAGCAATCCGCTCTTCATCTTCTCCCTAATCTCCAAGAATAGAGTAGCATCCATCCACGTAGCCTGCCAGAAAAAAAAAAGAGGACCAAGCCGAGAGAAAGCAACCCGCTGCGAGGTTCAAAAGCTTCCACGTGGGCCGGAGAAAACTAGGAAAATTGAATCCCGGAAACGTTTTAGCCGAGAGGAGGGCCTCTTGTCTCACACAGCGCCCTCTGCGAGAGAAATCAGTCTCAAGGCTCAGCCCAAAAAAAGAAAAAGGCTCTTTAAGCTCTATCTTTTTAATCGCGGAAAAGATGTCCTCGGCCGCAATGTGACATCATCTCAAAGGAGATCGCGACTATTTAGATTAGGAAAGAGGGTTGCACATTAAACATTATTTGTATCCCCTGCCGGGATCGCGCTGTAGTTTTTAAATCCACTTGAAATGATTGATAGATGACTTTGTTTGCTTTCTGTCGCATTACTCCACGGTAGAATAAGCGGGGAGATGGATTTTTCTTCTCCCCCCCGCCCCCCCACACACACACCACAGAAGATCTTGCAGTCCGTTTCTGTTCTACATTTACTCAGAAGTCAGTGTGGCTACAGTTCTAGTAGCTTGCAATCCTGTGCCGAGTTATCCAGTGCCTTGCATCCAATTGCACTGCAATAAACGTGCAGCCGATTGTAAACCGCAGCTTCCCGTGGTATGGCTAGACGCTTTGCAGGTTGAATCCCATTCAAACAACGCTTATTTAATGTGCCTGTTTAGTGCTACTGGTGTACACCCACGTTCAGAAAAGGGCAGCGGGGCTTTCGACGACGAGAAATTAAGGAGAAAGGAACGAACCTCAATAAACAACCGGCTTCATGATTTGCCCGTCAGCTTCCAACCAAGAAGTATGCAGTATCCGCTACTCCGCAGAGTACCATACCACATAAGCTTAAATCGGCCTGCAACGTGAGCGACACGCACACACAGAGAGAAAAAAAGAGAGAGAGTCGTGCAGTGGGGACAAGGGACTCCCGCCAGGCGGATCAAAGAAGTGGGCTAGCCAAGCATTTCTTCCCGCTGGCATGAAAATAATAAACCAGGCAGGAAACCAGCTGAGTTTTTAGGATACGCTGGGAAAGTCCGTGGACAGGGGGGGAAAAAAAATCACAGAAAATGCAAGTCGGCTTTTGCAACCGCGGTAGAGGAAGACCCACCCGGAGTCTTCCCCCTCTTCTCAAACAAGACTTTCCCTTAAAGGAACTCGCCGCTAAGGCAAAACCTGGAGTCGGCGGCCGCTCGCCCCGCGAGAAGAAGCTGCGCTAATTCTGAGCGGCGCCAGGTGGCGTCATAACGTCAGGAGAAAGCCAGGGGAAGGGAGGGAGGAGAAAGGAAGCCGCTTGGCATGCTGGGAACTGTCAGTGCCCGGGCGCGGGGAGGCGGGCAAGTGGGGCGGGGGGAGGTTTCTGCGGCGCGGCTCTTCCGGCTCTGGGCGCCAAGGTAACCCTTTTCGCTCTTCCTTTTTCTGGCCCTGCGGCCTTTTCCCTTCCTCGAGTTGGTGGGCTTTTTAGTCTGTGAGGGGAGAAAGCGCTGAGAGAGAAGGGGACAAAAAAAGGGAACGGCGGGCAGCAGCATCCTTATTGGGACCCCCAGGGGCTTCTCCTTTCCCCCCCTTCCTCGGAGCAGGTGCAGAGAGACGGGGTTGGATAGTAAACGCAGGCAGGGAAGCGCAGCCGGCGAAGACTCACGTATTTTCTTGCTTTGTCGGTTGAAAAGGTGCATTTGAAACCAAGGAAACGATCCTTACATGTTCGCCGGCCAGTCTTTTTGCTTAGGAAATGTCGCCCTTCCCGCCGTTTTATTATTCTATAAAGTGGGAATTCTTGCACACTTGGGGGTTATTTTGCCTAAGTTGTTTTTTTTCCCTAGCTTATTTTTTTAATTTAAAACAGGAAAAGCCATCCTTTCATTTTTCACTTCAAACGTGTAAAGGAATAGCCAATCCACTCTTATGGTATATTTATTCTGTTCTTTATTCTAGTAAATAAAGACACAGTAATTGGGGGTTATTTGATTTTTATGGCTGAGAGATTATTTTATTTCTTTTGGTTTAGTAGTCAAATAGGAGCCCTAAAATCCTGCTTAGACATTGTGGGGCTTCTTTTGATGAAATGTGCATAGGATGGTACAAATATCTTTCCCATCATCATCTCAGTTGCCCCTTCTTTATATTTAGCTTCCTGTGCCTTGATGTACTTGCCAATTATACATGCTGTAATGCAGAGTAGCATCTTTTCTTGAAAGTCTGTTTGCGCAGAGGGAAAGTTAACAAATCAATTTTTCTTTTACCCTCTTCATTCTATGTCCATAGGGATTGGTTAATGTTACAGTAGTTTTATTATATTTATTGATTGGATGCAGTGATTGGGAAAAAGTTGAAAAGGCTGTTACTATTGCCCAGAGATAATGTGGAAACCTAAAATATTACTTTAGCTGTGGGGAAAAAAGTAACTTTCAGAGCGCTATGTAATAAATAAATTTGTTCTTAGGAAATATTCTTTGAATTACAACCTTCATCTTCATTTTTTGCATATCTAGGTTTTTCTCAGTCAAAGAGTACTTTTGAATGATTGCTTGTGCCAGTTTCTCCCTCTATGAAGCTTCTAAGGAAGCTTCAGCCATAGTTTGATGATACAAGATGAAATATTGATATGGCTAATATTAATCAGAGGATGGATTTAAGTAAAAAAAAAAAGAATACATGCTGAGAGAAGAGAGATTGTGTCTAGTGCATATGATGAAGAAAAGTAAACTATCTGGATGAGTGTCTACTCTTAGCTGGCCAAGAGAATGACCAGGAACATTGAACAAAGCCCAAGGTTTGAACTTTTTTTTTAAAAAAAAGCCAGTGGTGAAAAAATCAGACAGATAGATGCAGTTTTCAGAAAAACTGGCTATCACCTTTGTTTGCTCTTTCCCAAAGCTTTTGCAACTCTCATCTTTTTTGAGAAGTATTTCTCACAGCGTTCATAGGTGCTATCCTCTAAGTTAGTCTGGATTTCACTGTTAAAATAAGCTAATAAAATTCAGAATACATAATAATCTTAGGGTTGTTACACTTAAAAAGTCAGAAGATAAGATACAAGTCCTGGTATTATGTATTTATCGTTGTTTGTTGTTTTTAGACATGTCCCACTCTGACTTTATAGGCAAGTTCTCTCTATGCTACCGTCTCGGGTATAGCTTTTTTCAATTGTATGTTCACCTTTGCATCAGATTTGATGTTATCAAGTCATGTTCATCATTTGCCCCTTCTTCTTTGTCCACTAGCCATTCCTTGCATCATTGCCTTCTCGAATGAGTTTGCACGCATAACATAGCCAAAGTAAATCAGATGTAATCTTATGATTTTAGCTTCCAATGAGATGTGATTTAACACCTTTCTGTTAGTTACTTTGGCTGTCCATGGTATTCACAGTAATTTATGCCAGCACCACAGTTCAAAGACATCAATTCTTCGATCAGCCATTCTTAGTGTCCAACTCTCATACCCCATACCTCATTATAGGGAAGACTGTAACTAGCCTGCTTTTTGTATTTAAATCAATATCACTGCTTTTCCAGGTCTTATTCCTGTTAACTATTGCAATGCGGCCTAAGGTTATCCTGCATTTGATTTCAGGAGTAGAATTGTATTATTTACTGTTAAATCAGAGATTCTGGTAAGATCCAATTACAAATTGTATATCAGATGTTTGGTGTTTGGTTTACTGTCCAAGACTCAGATACTCAGATATTTTCCCATTTATTTCCCAGTAATATCTCCCCCCTCCCCCCGCTCAGTTTTCTAATGTGCTTCTAAGAGTCAATGTTTCATGTCCACTGAGAAGAGAAGAGAATAGAATAGAATAGAATAGAATAGAATAGAATAGAATAGAATAGAATATTTTATAGGCCAAGTGTGATTAGACACACAAGGAATTTATCTTGGTGTAAATACTCTCAGTATACATAAAGAAAAGATACATTTGTTAAGAATCAAGAATCATAAGGTACAACACTTAATAATAGTCATAGGGTACAATAAGAAATCAAATCATACTAGGAAACAGTCAATATAAATTGTAAGGATACAAGCAACAAAGTTACAGTCATACAGTCACAAGTGGGAGGGGATGGGTGATAAGAAGTGATGAAAAGATTAATAGTAGTAATAGTGCAGACTTTGTAAATAGTTGGACAGTGTTGAGGGAAATATTTGTTTAGCAGAGTGATGGCTTTCGGGAAAAAACTCCTTGTGTCTAGTTGTTCTGGTGTGCAGTGCTCTATAGCGTCATTTTGAGGGAAGGAGTTGAAACAGTTTATGTCTGGCATATGAGGGGTCTGTAAATATTTTCACAGCCCTCTTTTTGACTCGTGCAGTATACAGGTCCTCGATGGAAGGCAGGTTGGTAGTAATTGTTTTTTCTGCAGTCCTAATTATCCTCTGAAGTCTGTGTCTGTCCTGTTGGGTTGCAGAACCAAACCAGACAGTTATAGAGGTGCAGATGATAAACTCAATAATTCCTCTGTAGAACTGTATCAGCAGCTCCTTGTGCAGTTTGAGCTTTCTGAGCTGGCACAAAAAGAACATTCTTTGTTGTGCTTTTTTGATGACGTTTTTGATGTTAGGTGTCGGTTTTAGGTCATGTGATATAGTAGTACCTAGAAATTTGAAGGTCTCTACTGTTGATACTGTGTTGTCTAGTATTGTAAGAGGTGGTAGTATGGGAGGGTTTCTTCTAAAGTCTACTACCATTTCTACGGTTTTGAGTGTGTTCAGTTCCAGATTGTTGTATTCATATTGTTGATTCCATAGTAATGTGTTTGAATTGTACTCAAGTACAGTGGAGCCTCGGGTCACAACCATAATCCATTCCCAGACTCCGGTTGTGACCCGATTTGGTCGTGTCCGGAAGCACGACCAACTGTGCATGCGTGTAGTCCAAAAAAAATGTGCCAAAGGGGAAATTGGCACGGAAAGGCAATCTTTCTGCACCGATTTTGTTCATCCAATTTTTGAATTGTGACCCTATTCAAAAATCAGGTGGATTTTTTTTTCGCCACCTGATTTGGTTGCGAACAGGAGTGTTCACCACCCGAAGTTCCCTGTCCCTTCTTTCAGTCAGTCTAGCCAATAAAGTAATTTGTTTATGAAATGGCATCTACCAATGGAAAAGGTTTCTTTTCCCACTCATATTCATGTCTATAGCCAAGGGTTGGGGAATCCTCACGTGTAGATAATCCTGAAGTGTAGATTTGGCATAGAAGTGGAAACAAACAAGAGAAATCCTCTCACACGTCTTCCTATCGCACAAGAAAAGGCATTGAAGAATAAAGAGAGAGAATGCACTGGGGCTTAGAAACATCCTTGGGATTTAAAAATAAACTAGAAGATAGAGCATACCTATAAAACATATCTGTTTTTCCATTTATTAATTTATTGAAATTACTAAACAAAATAACCCGAGGTAAGGCTGTGAGCTTGATCAGCATGGTGGAACTGGCTATGGGTAAATATCTAGAAGTATTGTAGAGATTCAGAAGATCATGGATCTTAAAATCTTTGAACAATTATTGTGCCTTACAATGTAGTTCTTTGCATGAGAGGTCTCATTATTTTTTGCACTATTCAATCTTGTACACATAAAATAGAAATACTACACCAAAAATACATTTTTGTTAGATCATTAGCATATTACATTGTTGCTGATATAAGCAAGTAAATAAAACCTTGTCAACAAGTATTAAAGAGTGATAGTGAAGGGATAACATTCTGGATATTTATTTAATAAATATTTTAAAAACCTTTGTATTTCAAATGCAAGCAAATTGTTTGGTTTTATATTTGGGTAGGTTTCTTCCATTTAATTGAAAACTCTTATGAGCATTATTTTCTG